ACTTCTTAATTCTGGGGAGTATAAAAGTTTTATTTCCAAGAAGAGATGTGATAAATAATTGAATTTTGGTCCTTTTGTCGCCCTTATATTAAACTATAAAATCTAAGTCAAAAGAGACATTCATTGCAATGAGAAGCGTTTAAGATTGTTTTTTATATAATCATATTATTTATATTTCTATGTTACATGCATATGATTATGCCAGCTTTTAAAAGTTTAATATTAAGATATATTTAGAATCAATTATAAGAACAATAATTAATTTTGAATATTAAGTAAAGTACTTATAAAACTTTTCATATTAATGTTAACAAAAGAAAATACATGCATTTAAATTACTATTTTTGGCAGACAAAATTTAACTATTTTACAATATGAACAACGTTACATATTTTGTCTCTCTGAGTCAAAATTATAATTATAATTCATGTGAAAATAACATTTCATAAAAAAATGTTTTTTTTTAAATTAAGTTTTGAGGTATCTCGGTTTGAATTTATAGGAGTGTTAAAGAAAGGTACTAGGCCTTTCGATATGAAGGGCATTATGAATCAAATTAAGTATTAAAGTGAATTGACCTCATAAGAAAATTAATTGTTGAAAGGAATTATTGAAAGTATGAAGAATAAACTCCAAAAGAGTTCAAAGCAATGTTGCCGTTCGTATAATTTGAAATAGACTGACGCTACAACATGCAAATGGTTTTTACGGGTGTACAATCTTTTTAATTTTTACACGAGTCTGTATTTTTGATTTTTTGGACAGAAGGTGAATTAAATGCATACTGCGACAATCATAGTTTTCACAATTCATGTCCAAATATCAACAGTGTCATTAAAAATAATAGTTTTGACATATTTTCAATTAAGCAGGAAAGTAAAAATAATATAGGAATAAGAAAAACTTAGTGAGTGTTGATTTATCAAAAGTGTATTGTTTTTAATTGAGAATAATTCCGTACTTAACAATCAACGTCGCATATACATGTACATTACTCTTCATTTCAACACGTACTTTGGCCGATATAGTTTTTCTATCGACCTTCGGCCAGATCATAAATATCAAGTAATTCGCATGCACGATATACATTTGTCATTTTTTATCTGTAAAGCATTTTTGTCTTAGATATCCGACGCCCCTTCTTCGGCTGATAGTATAATTTTGCACATGTGAATGCCATAAAATGTGTATTTTTATTCCTAGGAATTCATTCTTGCTTACGTATAATTTTGGCAAACCGCTTATGATTTAGATATATATGCGGTGCTTTTACCTGTTCAGAAAAAAATATGTGTTAACTCGTTGTTCTTTATGAGTGTGTATTTTTTTCTGAAAGTTATAAATCCGTTTTTGATTGACAAAAACGTCTGGGCCGTCATAAACTGAGACGAGTTTTTATTGAATAATTCTCTATGGGAAATTTAGACATTCGATTCAAATCTCTAATGTAATCTTTACATTCTTAACACACATCTGACAGCATAGCCTTAAGAAAACTTGAGAAGGTCCGCAAATGTAAAGGTGAATATTTTTTATATGTGTCGACCGTTAGGCTCTAGCTATTTGTCATTTATATAATTAAATAATTTTTATTGTGAATGTATATGTTTTCCAATATTTTATATGTTTTTCTCAAAATCTCTATTAAGAGAAGAACATGTGTTTAGTATGAACAGAAATATTAAGTTAAGGCTTTTTGATTTTTATAATATTATAATTAATCGTAATAATGCGACAACTTCATGAAGTAAGTATTACAGGAGCTTTTTTGTTTTGTTTCGAAACAGAATATCATTTTATTTCCTTATATTGGCATACAGTTTTGATAAAATATAATACAAAATATGATTTCAGTTTTAACATATAAATATTTAGCTGACTAAATAATCAATTATTTAGGTAAAATTTAAAAAATTGATGATGGAAATGTGAGAATGTATAAGTATATATATATATATGTACTTATCAAAACGCGTCATTTTAATGAAGTCTCAAAGAAGATTTTTCATTCGTGATATAATTAATTTCAAAGTGACAAAAATAATTGTTTTTACATTAGAACTACTTTGCGTTGATTGAGCAGGAGGAAATATTCTAACAAAACAATTTTAAGACGGTTGAATATTGTGAAAATATTTGTGCATTTTCTATGTAAAACATGTTTCTGCCCTGTCCTTTAATATTTGTAATTATTTTATTTTAGACAGTCTATTATTATGGTTAAGTTCTAAAAAAATGTATATACTTATAGTTATAATGGAACTATTTATTCCCGAGTTGTTTGAAATAACATGAGGGAAGAAACTTAAAGAATTTGCTTGTAATACTTATTAGCTATTTAATGCACAATTTAGTTGGAACATTCCCCTTACCTCAGAATATTATTTTTTAATTGTTGCTAAGAATTAAATCTATAAGTAGAAACCAAAGATAACCCGCTATTTAGGAAAATCGAAGGATTAAAACTTTTTGAAACACTGGCCAGCAATTGAGTTTTTTTTATATTTAAATGTATCAACATTGAAGAATTTTTATTTTTGTACTACAGAGTAAAAAGTGCATAACAATCATATTTTTATGATTATTTATTTGATTTTTTTTATAGAATTGTGAGGCGCATTGTATTGCCGTCCATTTTATATGTAGTATGTATTATATTGTTCTCAAAAAGACGGTTTTAAATTGAGTACATTGGTTGTTTCCACGTTCAAATTATCGAAAACATTATTCTATGAATATGTGAATGTATTATTCTACTCACCTGTAGACATACTAATCCACAAATCATAGAAAATATAAAAAAACATAAAAGTATCCAAAACAAACTCCAAAAATACGTTTATTATCTCCATTTTATTGCCAATTAAGCGGAACTCGACATCAAGAACGGGCATCACCTTACAGATATTTCACATTTATTTAAAGCTATGCGTGAAGCATTTATATATTTAAAAAAAACATTGTTATTAACGGAATCTTTAAAAGCATCAATATTTTTAAATGTCTACATTTATTTGTGAAGTGAAGAAAATCTACCTAACGATATACAAAAATAGTTGTGTTGTTCAGGCTTGTACAACAAAAGACGCATTCTTCGGCCATTTTGAACGTTCGCCTGCCCTAATTTTCCTTTTACATCCAAAATCCATGTAACGCATCGGAATATATGCGTAAAATGAAACTATTTTTATCACTTTAGCAAAAATTTATTTGCTACACCAATAATCCATTCATGTACACAAAATCTATAGATGTTTTATAGCACAAGTGTGTAATCTACAACATAACGAGGTCAACCATTATGCCCTATGTACTATTTATTAACTACGTCAGCTACATAGCTATGCTGATTCGCTCACTGGGGGCCATCTCAAAGTGAATATCTAACTAACTGTAAATGTCAAAAGTTTTGAACATACGGGAATTCGGTGGGTTTACACATTTTAAAGGCGAATAAAAGGATTATCAAAGTCTTTGCTTCTTTTTTTCTAAAATAATTGTCAAACTTATTCAGACTTATTTTCTAAATAAATGATCAGTATGCTGTACCAATACATTTCTCAGAGCAAATTTATATTTCCCAGTATTACTGAGTTTCTGTTTCTGCTGTTTTTATTTATAATGTTATGAAGATGTGATAATATAATTAGAATAAAATATAAACGTTTCATTGTTTGAATGGTATTTTAAACGTTCAGGGGTTTCACCGTTAAGCACAAGAAAACCCGAATAATACTCAGTTTCCTTCCAAGTACTTGCTTATGTGGGTGGCGTTTTTGTTTGCTTTTGATTATGGAAGATAAACGCATAAAATATTCTTTTCACGTGACTTTGCTTTTTTCTTCTACCTGAAATGTCATAAGGTAAAAAATTATAATAATGTGAATTGATTGAATTTCACCAGTTTACAGCATTTTTGGTGTATCTATGTTTTCATTTTGCAAAACCCAAAAAAAATCCAGTTAAGCTTAAATAAATACATTTCATTTCTATATTTCAATATGATTGCTCGAAAAAGTGTCATATAATTTGTTTCGGCTTAGTTGAAAGTACAATCAACAATATCTTAACACTGGGTTCTTTAAAAAATAGAAAAAAGCGAAGAAAGCTATTGAAAATAACAACAAAAACAAACGGCATATTTTAACTAATGATGAAAATATTTTTATTACATTGACATAAAAGTTAATGAATTAAGGAAATTAGAAAAAGAGACAAATAAAGATGCCAGTGACTGACACGAGATTGCAGAGTGTTTTTTTCCAGCATCCTTTACTAGCCTGTGAATTGCTTAATTAATTTATATTTCATCTTGATCGTAAGGATGGCACTTACATTATATGTGAAAAAGCAAACACAACTCACTTTTCCACAATCTGAAAAAAGAATACACGCTTTTTTACTTCTGTTTCGATAAAAGGTTGATATTCAGTAGATCAGGTGTCATTATGTTGTAGCATCGGGAGTTAGGGTTGAATTAAATGTTAAGCTAGATGAAAAGTAAGAGGAAAAATGTATGCAATTTGTTGATGTGCGAAACAATGGTAAAGATATATGTTGTATTAAAGATGAAAGAGTAGTTCGTGTACAAGTTGTTCTGAAAACTGTATGCCAAGGCCATAAAATTATATGGCAAGGCACCAGGGACAATGATGATTATAATGAAAATGATAATGATGAAAGTAATAGTTATACTAGCAATTTTGTTTTTACTTGTGTTAAAAGTAATTGTTTAAGTTTTTGTAAGAGAACAATTATATTTGGCAATAATCCAATTTCACATTTATTTTTTCTGATACTTGAATCATTACTAAAACAATGCAAAAGTGGCATAAATATAAACAAATCTACGTGCATAATTGTATAAAAAAGAAGTTCTAGTGGAATGTTCTAGCTATGTAACGGCACTTGTTATTCTTGGAACATATGAAAATGAACTCATTACAGAAAATGCTTTCCTATGTCCCGCTGTAATAATTGTTATTGTTCTGTTATTACAGGTACCAATTACGCAATGATGGCAAGCTACCTCAGCAATGCGGGTCATGTTCCGGAAGCACTCAAACATCTGATACCGGAAATGCAGCAATATTGGTCGGCAGCACAACAAGATAGTAAGTTTTCCTAATATTTATTCACAAATGTACTGATTTTGTAGTACGGTAAATATTGAAACCTGAATTAGGAAATTGTCCTGTTTTTTCTGCCATTGCTCACTACAACAAAAGGTTTTTTGTATTTTCTCTTGATGAATTTCTATATTTAACAATCTTAGTTGTTTAGAAGGGACTTTATAAATGCATTGTTATGTATTGCATTGTACCAAAAGAAATGTATGAATCCAATTTTTAAGGAATCATTTAAAGTACGACAGCAATATATTGAACAGATATTTGGTTGAAAAAGAAAAATATTAAGTTTTCGTTTGTTTTCTTTTCTTCTGTTTAGTAATATGAAAGGCCGCTTTTTACTACAATTTTGTATACACAAGTCAGAGACATATTTATATATTTCGAATTGTTGCACCGATTGTAAGTGTTATATATAATTGATTAAGAGTAAAGATTACCTTCAATAGGATTAGGTAATTTTAAATTCTCAAGTATATTCCTCTTTTTGGAGGTATTATTAAAATTTTATATACCTTCGCTTAATTTTCTAACATTTGATATTTAAAACGAATGCCTGTTTTTAGATTTTATCGATTTTATTTTTGCGTTTATTTTAAACATTATGAGCTTGCTTAGGTCAAAATTGAAACCGTTGAACTTATATGCTACTTTTATGAAGTTTTTATTTTTGTTTTATTTGAAAATAGAAACACAATAATAAAAGAGAAGAAAGTAGATAATTAATTAAATTTATTGTCTACTTTATAGATCAAAATGTAAAACTGAAAAACACATAACAGTTCGTGTAATTTTAATATTTTATATTTGCGCTTATAAAGATAGTTGAAATGGATTGTTGAAAACGTTACAGAGTGCGTTATTGATTAATTTTTATTTTAGACAATTCTGTTATATGAAAATCTATGAGACAATTAGTGTTATTTTAATAAGACTTTTCATGACATGACTTTATTAAAGAGTTATTGATATTTTTTATCAAATTCAATGGAATATAAATCGTTTTTATAGCAATGATATAACAATTTTATAATTTCATTTTTTTTTTAATTCCGCTGTGAACATTTTCTAATATTGTTAACACAATTAAAATGCTAAAACACAAGAAAATGATTAAATTAATGTCAACAATGATCCATTTAAACATGTATATTCCTTTTCTTTTTTTCTCAATTGTTTATAAAAGTCAAACTATCACTCTTAATCCGGTATGTTTCATTAATTTTAAAAATAATTTTGTGTTATTTTATGCTATTAGTTAAAAATCAAGTATTTGATTACGATTGTTTAAAAGTTTGTGTGAAGGTCGTATTTTTTAACGTGCCTCTGTTTAAACTGGTTTTTATCTTCTTTATGACACAGGCATATTGTTAAGAATATATTGCAAAGAAAATTACTATAGTTATGAATAAAATACCATAAAATGCAAATGAAATATGGGCTAAATTATGCAAATGAACAAGAATAATAATTTACATTTTATGTTGTAACAAGATATGTTAACCCGCAACTTCAATCTTCCGCCATGAATAATTTATATGACATATACATATACATGTACACGAATACTTGTTAAATTTAAAATTACATAGATCTCTACATATGAAACGCTTGTTTTTAGAAAGAAAAAAGATGTTTAAGATCTTTTAAACGTTTACACATGTTTGTTGATATATATTCAGTAGAAGTTGTTCCTCTGACCTAGAAAATCGTTTTCTAAATGTATTATACATGTACATCGGATAATATCATACCAAAATACTGATAAAAGCGATAACACTCGGATCCGTGTAAGCCAGCGGGGTTTTATTATTTATCCAGTTTAGGATATTAATTTTCCTGAAGTGACGCTATTGACAGTTTGGGAAGACATAAAATTGATTTAATCTGTCACGTGACTAGACCACTATAACAAATGACAATTTTGGAATTATTTCGGTGTCATATCGAGGTCTAATATGGGTAACGGGACACGATCCTTGGTACTTTTTAGGGCCAATAGAATCGCCGATACACGCGTTATGAAAACTATTTTTTGTTATATCGCAATCTTTAAAAACTGATGATTTCGTTTATAAATTTTGCACTGATGGGAAATTGAGACACATGTAATGTGTTGGGGTTTTTTGTGGGTATTTGAGTAGGTTTTAGCGGTTACAGTTTCAGTTTCAGATGCATTTGAGATAGCAAATTATTGCTCTTGGTATTCGGTACTGAAAAATAATTGCTTTAAAATAACACAAAATCATTGTTAATATTAATGAAACATATCGGATTAAGCTAAGCTCAAGTGATAGTTTTATTTGTTAAACAAATGAAAAAATAAAATGAACCGGAGAATATACATATATGTATCCGAAGATGGAGCATTGTTGCCATAATTTAAATTCTCTTTTATTCTTCAATTTATTTATTCATTAATTTTTTTCTTGCTTAATGCATTTTAATTGTGTTAACAATATTATTTAGCGTCAGTTTTTCCCCCAAAAAAATTGTAAATTATTTTTGAAGTAATTTACTGACATTTAAAAATGTTATAATATTTTTTTTGAGTTCGTTTCCTATTTTAAATTAATTGAATTACTATGTTGCGTTAATATATTTCTTTCAATGTATTAAATGTCTATATATATTGTTAAAGTTGATTTATTTCTGTGTTTTTGTTTTAAATATTCATCATATTTAATGTTGTTTCATACACGAGTTGACAAAAAAAAATACTGAACGGAAATTCCATTATTTACAAGCACAGTTTATTGCGCTTTCAAAAACATATTTCTAGCAATAATTTATAAACCTATTGAATGTCATGCTTATTACGCATGACAAAAATATGTACAAAATGTATATAATACATACATGTTTATAGAGTTCAGAAGTAGTTTATTGTTGTTGGAAGAAGAGTAGAAAAAAACATTATTGCGTCAGATTTAAAAAAAAATCTATGAGCATTATGTTGATTTGTTACAATACCATCATAATTATGTTAAAAATTAATGCTGACAAACTGTTCTATTTAGATATAATGTTTTTAATACCCATTATTGCTTTTCACCATATTTCATTTTAGAACTTAATAAATACAATTGAATATTTATGAGTTCGTTAAACCATACATTAGTTGATCAATTATTTGATTCAGAAATAAATATAAATATATGGCAATATTCAGCTCTCAACTCATTCAACTCCAGAAACCTTACACCCTATTCGCCCCGCGTAGATAAAATGTTGTAAGAAAATGCCTAATTTATATAAATATGCGCATTATGATTAATAAAACAAAAAATTGTCAATGTCGAAAATATGTAAATTAATTTTATTTGATTTCAAATCATTAAAAATGTGGAATGTTGCTTTCTCTGCAAGAGCTTTTTTTCAAATCAAAATATTACACGTTAACATGCGTGAATCATACTATTTGTAAACCAGCGGAGCTTTGAATTTTTTCCGTGTCTTGTTCACCATTATTTAGTTTCCCTTTTTCTTATATTACAGGCTACGCACGATATCTTTTGGGCAACATGTATTACCCCTATTTGCCATACCTACCGGCAACTGAGTCGCTGGCATTATTTGCTCAAAACTCAAACGTTGCTCAGATGGAGGCCGCATTGCAGGCACAGGCGGTGCAACACCGGATATATGACCTACAGAAAGGTAAAAAACAAATACAATGACAGTTAATGGCTGGACCCACAGCAAATCTACATTTATTTATTAAATAAATCTAATCATTCTGAATTTTGGAGTTTATAGATGCATAAGTTCTTGCCTGGGGGTGTCAGGGTGTGTGTGGAGGATGCTTAAACTGAATATGAATATGCCGTTTCCGTTTATTAACAGGTTAAATCTAACACTGTCGTTTTAAATCACTGATGTTTTGTTTTCGAAACTTTGTGTCTTTTCAGATTTTTTTCTTATATATAATGTGACTTCTTAAACATTAAATAACATAATTGATATACATGTATAATAGCAACTTTGCACATTGGTAATTTAATTCACAGAGAACAATGTAACTTATACACGTATATTTTGCCACGGTATAATGTACATATCATCTAGTTTCTTATATTGAAATAAACATTTTTCAGAATTAATGAGATTGTGTATATAGACTAAAATAATATTAATATTAATATTTATATTTACAATCCAACGAAAGAGCATAAAATAACAATTTAGAAATAAAAATGCGCTAGCTTTTTTTAATATCTTACTCCATACATATTTTATCTTACAGTGTATTCTTTCTGGATACTTTCTTTTTTACCCCAAGAAACAAGTCCATACGATTTAATAAAGGATGCGAATTGGGTTTTCTTCTAATTTTTATTTAATTCTATTTGTTCGATGAAGATATGCGTAGTTTGAAAATGTACACCGTACGTAAGGTTTACATTACTCCCTTAACTTGAAATCAATGTTGTAAAACATAAAAAAGCAACATTCTATCTTCCTTATATTTGTGTTTTTGTGTGTTGTGAAAGAAGCAGATGTTACGTTTATTTACAAGGGGATTACGTTTGTTTGCAGTCAAAGATTCAGCAGGGAAGATAGATTTGTGACTGTTAAACCGATAATTAGCGGGGAAGAATATAATCACCTTATCTAAAACAATAATAAATCCTGCCATAGACAATGAAATACGAAATTTCATTGACAAATAACAATAACAGGAAATAAACAACACCAATAGGAAACGTCGCAATTTTGATATTTTCTTTTTTTCCATTCATGTAAGAAAATTTTAATCTACAATTGAAGATAACAAAGATCACTCATTTTAGGTGATTTTTTCATTCTGTTTCAATAATCGGTTATTATGCATAAAAGCCGATCATATACGACTATCATTTCCGATATCAAACGGCATATGCGTATGTAAATGCAATTATTTAAAATTTATAATTTTAGAATTTTATTTTCGGATACCAAATGTGTTCATATTCAATTAGTACTACATGTTAGTCTACATCTTTCTTTTTTATTCATTTATCTATTTATGAAGCTATTATTTAATTGCACGTGCTTGATCGTCAAATGTCTGTTGCAAAAATATTTATGGTAATTATTGTGTTCAGAAATTAACTTGCTGACAAAGTTATTGCATTGCCAATAATGCCTTGTTGTTACATAATGTAGACAATGTACCTAGTATTACGAATATTTTTATGTGAGAAGAAAATTCGTTTATAATTCATCTATGAACAAATGGTATTTCGTAAGTTTCAACCCCTGCTGAATTCTTTCTAACTCCGATGAAGAAAACAAAAACCGATTTCTGTGCTTGAACCACATCTGCTTTTTACATTTCACATTTTCTCTCTACCTAAATGTAAACACCTGTAGCGACGCAATCAAAAATAGATGAAAATGTTTTATAAACCTCTTTCAAGTGCGATTAAAAGCCTTGCTTCAATTCTGGTTACAAGGACTTTTAATGTCTTGGTGGGCAACAAAGTTGTATGCAGCGTTTTCAGTCTTTAAGATATTTGAAAGAATTGTATCCTTACAAAAGCATTTTTTACGTAACTGTTCTTTGAAACGATCACCATGACTTTAAAGGTTCTTGTCACTAAGGCAACTTAAAATGTAGACACCTAAACATGAATATCTTACAGCATGTCTAATTGGACGGTTTCTTTTTACCTGTAGCAAACATTACTAACAGTCAGTTATTTCTAATGCTGTTTCCATTAACCTTTCAGAGGCACTTTTTGGTCAAAGTGCATATACACATAGTTTGTACCCTCACTCTCATCTATATTCACCGAACAGTCAATTAGAGGCTACAAACCTATCATTGCCAAGTTCAAGCCGGGATCGACCTAGTGACCGACCTAAAGAAATCGAATCCGGAAGACATGATATAAAGAAAGAGTCTGACAAGAAAATTGACAAAGAAAAAACAGAAGTAGACAGCCTGAGACTTTCCAATGATCAGGTTCCTGATAAAAGTAAACCTATTGATGGTAGTGAAAGAACACGTGGAAGGTTATTAAAAACTGAAGACCGAGACAAAATTAAAAGTAGTGCGAAATTAACAAGAACTCAAACTTTTGAGTCAGACAATAAGAAATCAAACGATACATGTGTACCGGAAAATCTTTCCAAAAAGAGAAAGCCTGTTGATAACTCTGACATAATTATACTTGATTCTCCAAAATCATATGTAAGTAATGAACATTCTGACATTGATAATCATGAGTCAATCAAATCTAATTCTAACGGAAACATAATGAATCGAGAAAATGGCACAGGTCTGCCTATACATAGTCCAGTAGAAATATTATCACTAAGCCCTACGAGGCATAGCCTTGTAACTAGTCCGGAAAATTGTCCTAAAATTTCTGAAAGTTCTGAACGCAAGCGACGAGTAGTAAGTCCTGTGGGTAAGAGAAAAGAGATATGTGTTGAAGACCAAGACATGCCAGAAAATCTGTGTATCAAAGATAGAGACAAGTCAAAAGAGGCAAAGAGCGTGTCCCAAACAGAATTACTGAAGACTCATACTATAAACACTACATCGACTGTTGATGTTAACTCAAAATTGGACATAAACACTACGGATGTCAATAGCAAATATCAAGGCAAAGGTAAATATACACCTATATAAACATTGTCTTGTACAGCATTTTTAACCATTATACAACCGTAATGTATGTGACAGCAAATAAAAAGAAATCAATTGTTCTTTTGTCAAACACTAGATTTGTCCAATAAATTGATTTGAAATGTAAGTCACTCATAATGCTATGCACTGTTTAGTTCAAGTGGGTCATTTCAAATTCATTGTTTAATATATTCTGTCATTTTGGACAAACTCTTTTTTTTACGTAATGATTAGCTGAGAAAAAAAACTATACAATTACGTATTACAATTGTTTAATACATCCCTTCGCAATAAAAGTAGAATCTGCAAATTCAGGTATTACAATCGATTTTACAAGTTTTCCTGCTTTAATCACCATTTCTCTTACAGCATCAAGTTTGTCCCCGTCACAAACAAGCCCTTCTTTATCAAAACAGACAACAGTCACCACGTACTCTCTTCCATACTATCATAATCTGTATGCTCGTTCCCAACCGCAGGATGGAAAGCGTGTTCACGCCACAACATATGTCCCAGAAATAGGTACCATATCTAGTCCTGTCGCTGGTGCGCCATCTGTCATAAATGTTGTTGACACTAAACATAAACTCAGAGAAAAACTCCAGTCAGAAGATATTCAACCATGTAGTGGTGATAGAAAGTCACCGATTTTGGTGATTCCAACGAAAACAGATAATTCCAAACAAAAGATTAAGGATTTTAGTCAAACTTTATTTATTGAAACGAGTGAGCAAAGTATATTTGATCTAAGCAGAGACGAAAAAAGTCCCTTTTATTGCAATAACCGGAGTTGTGTTCAATCAAACTTAAAATCGTCAAATGAAGGACTTGTGTCTCCAACCGGTTCAGACTCAAAATGTACAGATACAGAAAAATCAATTGACCTTTCCATGAAGAAAAACTATAGCTCACGAAGTCACAGTCAAGGAGGAAATAAGGATTCTTCAAGGTCACCTGTAATGCGTAAGCGAGAAGTGCTTAATTCACCAAAAGGAATCGAAACTGAAAAACTGGTTGCGCAGGATCTGAGAAAATTCTCTGACAGGGCGCATGACTTGAGGAAAAATCATGACAAGCCAAAAGAAAATGTAAGTGATAATGTTAAGAAAAGTGCCGAGAAACGCAAAGCGTGTGATTTGAATCACAATTCTAAAGATCCGAATGAAATGGAAGTTTCAAAGAAACTTAAGAAGTATGTGCCTTCCAAATGTGTAAATGCTCTTGATAATGTGATATCATTGACAGACAGTGATGATTTAAAGGAAAAGTCAAAGGATTCCGAAAGTGATTTGAATAAGAATAAAACAGACAAAACGACAATACAAGTTGTAAAAGATAATAGACAAAGTGCAAATGGAATGACAAACAAACATAAGAATTCGGTTAAGCCATTAAACGGTACAAAGGATTTACCTGATATTGACAAAAAGAATACAAAGCAGACTCAACATACAGCTGTTGATTCTCCAAAACCGAAAAGTTCAACTTTGAAACAAACTGATGGGAATAGTCAGCCAACAGGTACATGTGCTACATTGTGTTACATTTTGTAAAGAATCCATCTGAGTGTATTGCTTTATTACCAGCAAAATATGAGAAAACAAATATCTTTTGTATTTTTAAATTTTTGTTTTCTTAATGTAGTTTTTTTTTTTGCCAAAAAAATGATTGTTTATCTGGCCACATGTTAATTTAAGAAGAGAAGAAAGGGTTTAGATTTCTTATTTTGCAATAATTTAAATATTTCTCTTGCAAAACATCCCATATTTTATCTGTATATATTAAAAATAAATTATATCTGTACCTTTTTTCTTAAAGGAATTCCTGTTGGCATAGCTGTTGCCAGGCAACGGAATATTGCACCAAAAGTTAGTTCAGGTTAGTTGCCCTATTTATCTTGATCAATATCGTCATTTTATCGTTTAACGTTATAAACGATCTGGGTGTTTTAATATACATTTGAATAAGTTCCCTTTGATGTTTTTCAGTATATTTTCCGATTGTTTGTTTTTCTAAATCGTTGTCTTACATGTGTCTATATTGTTTTAATTAGGGATGTTTTTAGGTTTCCCTGCTGGGTGCCGTAACAGTGGTCCAGTGGGAATTGGTACTTACTGCGTTGTTCTCTTTCGTTAATATTTCCTTTCATATCTAAAGCCTTGAAAAATTGTTAAATAACGTCCAAAACATTTCATGGTATAAAATATTAATTTAAAAGTGACCAATCCATTTTTTTCAGCGTATACATCAAACTAGTTTATAACATCTGTATTTTCGATTTAATTAAAAAAAATGCTACAATTGAACAGGAAATCTGATGCCCTTGTTTTCTATAGTGCGTTTTATAAATTAAGATAACTTTCTTTAAGAGGCATTCTCCAATTTTAATGCCACACAAATACGTTATGCGAGGCGAAGTGCCCCTTCCAACTTCCCAACTTCTTTATCTGTAGCATCAAACTGTATCTAGACTTGTTACGTACATGTCACTATTGATTTAAAATAAGGCTATGCGATCCATTTGATGAAAGAACGATAAAAATCCTTGAAAGCGAATCTTCATCATAGCATTCTTATTATTTTGTCAGTTAGGTTTGATGCTAATTTTCAATTTTGGTTTCAGTAGAAAACGACACTAAAAAGACATCAGAAGACACGAAGAAACAACATCCTGTGGCGGATGTGAAACCTATTAGGTCTGTGTATCTCCAAGTTTTTTATTACTAATTTCTTTAGCTCGTTTTATTGATATCCTTTGTTTGACTATTACATTTCTTTTCATAAATTTTAAGTAGATCGAAACAAATGCTATTTTACTGAAAAGCATTCTTAATACTCGATTTTTTTTGTCATCTTTTTTTTACTACTTTGAATCTTTTATGCTATTTATGTTTATATAAAGAAAATAATATAAAGTTACTTTGTTTGTAGACCGCTGAAGGTTATCCGACCTTCAACCAAGGGTTGTGGTCCGACTGTCTCTGACAAACGAAATGAATTGCCAGCAAATTTGATAGTAACAGGTATATTATTGTTTGTAAATCAACATTAAGCGGTGTATTTAAAATCTGTTGTAATTTCGAATCAGAAATAAATCATAAGTAATACATTAGTATAGAGTTTACATATACGTATATACTTCTCTGTCAAAAGTTTGCTTTTACAGTGTTTTTATTTTATATCAATGATAAGATAATGGAGTCTTATTTGATATATATGCTTTAGTTTGTGTTAAAACAGTATAATTCTGACAGATAATAACTCTAATAATAGAGACGAAGAATAGAGAAAAACAAATTAGAAAATTTTAAAAGACCCGATATTATTTTACATATTTGCACATACCGGTGTAGTATAAAACACTGTCAATATAATACCTCAGGAGGGGCGACGCCACCAGGAGTATTCTGGCCCGATGATCCGGCGTCCCGACAGCTGGCTGCCCAGTTTTTACAAGCGGGTCATCCTCTGCCACCTACAAGCTGGTACGGAGCGGGAGCATTTCCATTTCCACAAAATGTCACCACGACAAGCTCCGGGGTAACACAAGCAAATCAAATGCCATTTACAGTTCCAGCGGGATACAAACTAGCGCAAGATTCTGTAACGGGACAGATTCTACTATTACCTACAGGTATGACTTTGGCCCTCATAAAGTCATTCAATTCTAAGAGAAAACAATTGTATCAATTATTTAACTCCATCTGTTACATACGGCGTTGTCTCTGTTATTTTTTGCTCAATTAATGGACTAATGAGGCCGCATTTATTTCCATTTATAATTTACTACATTGGAACATATACTATTTTAATTACAGATGCTGCAATATAATACTATGTCATTAAACAAAATCGTTACCTATATACTATTTTATATCTGTTTTAAACGAATTCAGGTTCATATTTAAGGTAACATCAAATAAACTGCTACAGCCTTCAAAAATCGTGTTTGATTATATAAAGTTCTAAAAATATGACACGTCCCACATGTACCATTAAAATGAAGCAGAGAAAATACTTTGGAACCAAATCCACTTGTTATTTACAATAATGAAATAAAAAAAATCTTTAGAGAAAGCATTTACTTTTGTTATCGGCATATCTCCGTTTTTATATAGATTCATACATAATTTATTATGACTGCAGTTATCTATGTATAGCATCGTTGAATCCAAAATGGAAATCCCAAAAGGCACGTAATTTCAGCAATTAACAATACTTTATGTTTATTTATATTGCCACTACGTGGTGCCGACCCAACCTCCCAATGAATTCACGGATAATTTAATTTCAGTATCATACTTTTGGAATACTTTAGTCTAATGTTTAATTGATATAGAGACAGAGGCACGGGCATAATGACATCTGTGTTGATTACCTTACATCTGCAGGCTAAAAGAACATGCTTTAATAAGCATTTAAAAGCAAGAGGCATTTCACGCTCGCTCTGTCTCGATATATAATGAAAATAGTATTATTTTTGTTTATCTTCTTCTAAAAGGATTGCGTTTTTGTTTTAAATTAGGTCCGTCCTTAATTTCACAAATTTGTGCAATATCAATTCAAATGTCAACCATAAGATAAACGAGTTATGTTTATGTTAAAACAGCGTTGTCAAGTATCCTAAAAGACATTGTTATAAAGTGTGTTCCAGCCAGATTCATAAATGGAAGTGCCGAATGAAACAAATTTGTTGCCTGTATTCCGTGAACATCGCCATCTTTTTTTTCAAAATAAATGCAACAAATTATAATTAATTATTTTATATATCGATAGATTGACTATTTCTTAAAACATTTGATTTGAGGTTTCTTTATTTTTTAATCTACACAATTTAAACGTGCAATCTGATGAAGTTGTTATTCACAGAAAAATGTAGGTGTTTTAAATAAAATGGAGGATCAATATTTCAATTACGTTTACAAGAAAGAAACGACTTAATGATATTTGTCACGTGACAATTTATTCATTAAACAAAAGATTCTATCTAAACAGGAAAAATATTGCTCTTCCTTAAATAAATATCACTATTTGTTATACATCAGAAGAGGGAAAAAATGTTTATAATAGGATGTATTTGGAGGACTTTTGGCAAATCAAAGTTTCTTTACTGATAAAAAGAATCATAAAATTTATCATATTATTATCTGTCCAAAATGTCATTATAATGAATGATTTCTTTTACATTTGTTTCACCAAATAGGTTCCGATGTCTTTGACAGTAGTCGGTTATTTAGCGGTTTGCCTGTTGGCAGTCAAATCACCGGTGGACCAGGGTTTGGAAACCCCGTCCTACCGAGTCAGAGTACTCCAGTCACATTGTCCGCTACACCATCCATATTTCCAGGACACTCGTCTGATAAACCTTCAACTCTTGAAATAGGTTTACCAACATTTGCTCCGATGTTTACAGGAAACGTAAGTCACTTTAAAATGGTTTAATCCTATTATGTACAAGTTAAAGTGTTGACAATATTTTACAACTGAAAAATTTGTATTGAAGTTAATGATGTATTACAAATGACAAACCGTCTTGTAGAAAGAGAAACAGATCTAATAAAAGGTTTTAGGAAAAGGCAGTCAAATTTACCAGAGTTACGTACCTGTCGTATTATTATTGATACAACTACGAGATTAGTGTCATAAGAGTTATCGGGAAAAAATGTATTAAATGAACCTCTAGACACTTTATGACCAATTCAGATATTGATTAATTAACTTCTGCAGGTGCTCAACACTCCAGAAGTAGCAGCTAAGGACGACAAACTATTATCCACAACTCAGTCCAACACGACCAATGCAATTACCCCGTCAATTATATTGACTGCCGGTCACGAAAGCACACCTGGTCCAGGGAACCGTGATGCCACTAATTCAACTAAGTCCGAGATTATTAATCTATCACAGACTGCAACTGTTTCAGGTACAATATTAAACATTAACTTAGTTTAATATTATTGGGTAATAACATTTTTCTTTCACTGAAATGATATTCTCCCCAAATTGTCTATCCATACCATTAATATGCTATTTTATATTTGTTTTCTTTTTTCTAGAAGACACACCTTATGTATATTGTTTTCTACTTTTATTAAAACATTTTCATCGACATAAATAACACATTGTAATGGTTAATTAAATGGTCTGATATAAGATTTATTAAGCTGCTTGTCATCTTCAAGTTTTAGTATGAAAATCGACGATTTTTTATTTTCATTTGCTTTGACTGCTGCGCAACATTTATGTCGAAAGATAAATTACTGTTAATTCTTTCATGTTTCTTTTAATTTTCTGAAAATACTCAACACAGACCAAAAAACACAACATTTTAGATAAAGCAAAATATATAAGGATATATGTATAAGGAGATCACACAAATCATAGCAAGAGTGAAAAGCTAAATTCAAAATTTTCAAATGTACCGAATTTTACATGAAGTTAGGCATTCATTTACAAATACTTAAGGTTGCGTTCACTATGTTTTATTGCCCTTATCGGTGTATTACTTCCCTATGTTCTATGCAGTAGGTCACTAGAAGGAAGTAAATTTAATGAGCATTTAATCATAATGTTTGTGTAGCATCTATTGTTTCATGAAGTTAACAAATGTATCAGGTCACTAACTGCAAACCAATCATCTTTTTAGAACTTGCTGTTGTGTCCGGACAACCATGTACATATACATTTCCATCGCCAACTGTACCGATTGTTCTTAATCAGGCACTGTTAACTACACAAAATGTTCCGGATAATTGTCCGGAAGTGACGCAGCTTAAACACGATCATACTTCCGTTCAATCACGCGGAACGTCTCCAATGTTACCGGCATCTGATTCTTGCGCCGAGGATACAGAGGAAAATAAATCTGATGATAACGCTGATGAAATTTTAGAAGTATGTGATATTGAAGACAATAAAAATGAAACTGTTAATTTAAATAGCGACTCAGTGGAGATACATCGTTGTGAAGTAACACAAACTTCAAACATTAAGGAAGATAAAAATAGTATAAAAGATGATTTAAGAATGGGGCTTTGTTCAAATAAGTCAACTTTTGACTCGTTACAAGTACAAACAAACATTGACAAAACTCAAAATACAAATAAAATCGACAAATTGAAACGTGAAAAGGACTCAGGGACAAGTGAAAATAAAGCTGAATTGGAATTGAAAGACCGCGCTAAATCCCCAAGGTCAAGCAGGAATATATTCACTGACCTAACTGAGTATAATCCATTCATGGATCCCCAGGTTTTACAGGCAGCAGACGGACTTGAACTTTTAAGTGCTCTAGCTGAGAAAAGTGCAATGCGTTTGAATGAAGAATCTATACCGAAAGAAAACGCAAAAGAAGAAACTTCGATAAGAAAGATTGAACATATTGACGACGTAGTAAAAGTCGAAAGTGATATAAAAGAAGTAAGGAAGGTTGATATTAAAAGTAATAACAAAAGCGTAAAGGACGATACCGAAAAAAGAAAACAGAAAGATATAATTGATGGAATAGCTAAGGATGTACCAATTAAACCACGGATAAAATGTGGATTTGCTTTTAAGCCTAAAAAGGAAAAGAAAAAGTCAGTATTGGATGATTCCAAAAAGATGACAACATTTTGTGGCATATCAATTCCAGAAGGTGAGTCTTATATTTATGATGTTGTAATTTTACATATGTTTCCTCCCTCTTTTTGAAATAAAAATAGAAAGGTAAATCTTTAGTGTATTTCTTTAACCTCTTGTAGTAAGTGTGAACCCTTTCTTTTTTATATTTATATTCCTTTTGTATGTTAGATAATATTTACATAGTAGTTCCTTGTGATAATATAAAGATGTACATTTAAATTTCCATCCAGTGTATAATTTTGTAGACTAGAGACGTTTATTTTTTTCTATTTAGCATCTCTTTAAGTATTTGTTGTGTAACTTGTATATGCTCTCTCTTTCGGGCATCTCAACTCAAAGAAACAGACCTTGATTCTTTTCTCGAAATAGATGACGATGTGATAGACTCCATTGAGATGCAGATGAAAATGAGACTGGCAGAGCTCCAGAAAAGATACAGGGAAAAACAGAAGCAGCTTGCAAAATTGACACCAAAGAAGTTAAAAGACACAGAAAACAAGACAAAAGACGAAACGAAACAAAAGACCGGGTAACTATCAATAAAAGTATTTTTATTATTTGTTTACTTAATATTTTGCTTGTTTACACAAATATGTTTTACACAAAAAGAAATGCACTAAAATAGAAATATGAAATTTAGGAAGGCCAATCTTACTGTACCTTCACATATTCTAAGACATTTTAAGCATAAACCCGATCTTGACGTTAGCCACAATAAATTAAAATGAGATTCTTACCTTTGAAACTCGCAGACTTGCATAATAATCTTAAAGAAAAAAGATTGTTTACATAAACAGTTATTGTATTACCTTCTTATAAAACACACAAATAAAAACTATAAAATAAATTTCAGAAGTGACACATTAAGAGGCCCCGGAAGGCCAAAGAAAAAGATGAAAGATTCCAGTGGAAGCTCAGATAGTATAAGGTAAGCTGCAAGAATTTACATAGCATTTGATTTAAATAAAAACACACAACAAAACAAAAGCATTAAAATAACATGTTTATAGAAGACAGTGAAATAACAATATTGTTTTGGTGTCGATTGTCATTTACCTTTAAAAAGAAAATAAATGATATGTGTCCACACAATCCAGTTACACGTGTGTACCCTAAATTTATTAATGTGTTTCTTATAGCTAGTAAGTGAAATATGATTATTTTAAGCAGTTTGGACAAAACATTTTTATTTTAAAATATTACATTTTTCCGTAATCGTTGAAATGTCAGACTTTCACTATACTTATCGGTTTAAAATTATTTTGACAAGCTATTCTGACTGCCAAAAAACATTTGTAATGCTTTACCTTACGCTTAAAATCACCGCGTAATGTTTCGTGTTCTGTCGTAACAGACGATACATATCAAGGTAGTGTCATACAGAAAACTGTAGATATACACTACGTTAAACAAACTGAAACGTTCACGCAGCCGAAAAGCAATTGATTAGTATGGCAAATGTTAAATAACAATATTAGGGTAGTGTGCCGGTTTCGAATTTAGGTCGATTTTCGTCTGAGGCGTTGATCGGTGACCGTAAATAATCCGTCTATTGTACGATAGACCGTCACGTAAACCAGATGTGGGACGGAATTGGACGGCTTCCAATTTGTTATGCATTGGAAATCGACTTGTTTTACGAATAAGTTGCAAAGCTTAATTTTATCTTGTTCTTTGCATGTATTATTCAAATTACAATGTAAGGGAGGAGGGGTATATGCGACGTACGCAACAAATCGGTGTCATTCTATAAATAGATGCTACACATATAGTTAGGTTTAGGTTTGACGGCATGTCGTCTAAAAACGAATATTTCGTTACAGAAAGTAGAAAATTGCCCCCCTTCTGATCTATTGAATATAACGTAATCAAGAGATTATTTTAATATTTATCCTACTGAATTTGCATAGTGCAAAATTGTGATGTGAAGAAACTAAGTAACCGGTAGAATCCCTCCAAAACTGCATGGACCTGTGTGCTGTCGTTGCTTTTATATACAGTTATAGCGATGTTCTTACTAGATACATGGCTAAATTGTTTAACACACGAAATAATCGACTTGTTCGTGTTCATTGATATGGTTCAATATTGTATATATTTCAGATGTAAACCTACCGATTATTATTATTGATGGCTCTGTTTAAAAAGTTTGATATAAAAATGTAATACGTATACAAGAAATTATATCCATGTACCTATACAAATGTTGTTTTGGGGTTTTTGTGTTAGTTTGAATATTTGAATACCTGAATGACTGGTGCCCCCAACAAATAAAAACAATATATAGTCAATTATTTTGTTCAAGCAAGTATGAATAATGCTTTAGCTAGCTTGAAAAATTAAAAGAATGAATAAGTTTTTATCATGGCGACATAAACGAAATGATTAAGTTGCACAATAAAACGAAATGAAGCGATATTATTAGTTTTAATAATCATTTTTTTTCAGTATACATAAAGACACGCAATTCAAATAAAACTAATTATAAATCTATAAGGATTTCTTAAAATACACATTTTTTTTCAAAACCTTCTCTTAGCTGTATTTTAATGCATTTATCAAAATTCAATGAGCCCGAATGAAAATGTGACCCATTTAATGTTTTTCCCAATTACCTATTTTAACAAATCCACTTCCATTATACAATGTTCTATATGAATTATTGACTTATAAACCATTATATGTAATGTGATTAATTATCACGTGATCTGGTTAACCACATATATTATTTATGACATATTCAGCATACAATATGTGGAATAATATATGTAAATTTCTATTCTCACAGCCCATTACACCATGTCTCATTTGCATATTCATTAGTTTTTTTTGTTGTTATTTTTTGCATTGTCTCCGGATAGATTTTCAGTATTAATGGCCGTAAAATAATATCTAGAAAATTCTAATTATCATATAACATTATTCTTAAATACTTGTAAATACTTGCTAGCATTTCTTTTAAGTGAACGTCCATTTTTGTACAAAGAGTACAGTCTTTATAAACAATACTCTAGCTCCAAATTAAACTCTAAGTGACATTAAATTGATTCTTTCATTTTTGTAGCGACAAACTTTCAAAATCGAAAACCGGTGAGCACGGCAGCAAATCGTCCCCTCCATCTTCTACCAGCGGCGGTTCGGCGGGACAACATGGACCGGCAAAGAAGAAGAAACTCGCAGAAATGCTCGTTGACCGAGTGTTCCGAAAGACAGGAAGTTCCTTCAAGGTGTGCATAATGTTTATAAATTGTGATATATGGTTAACTGCATTTATAATGCTATAATATGTCGTTTAATTAAAATACTAGTAAGCTCGTACTATAGTATTTAAATGTCAACGAAAACATATTTGTGAATGTTAATTGCATTTGGTTTACATTTTAAACACTGTAACTCGTGTGATTATAGACGCATATGTAATTAATTGTTTATTCAATTAAATAAATGTTGCAATTTCATTTTATGGTTGATAAAGTTTCTTTGTTTCTTATTATTTATAAAAATTGCAAGAAGGCACGCATCAGTTAGACCTCAATGTATGAGAAATAACAAATAACAACAAATGACAAATTATAAAGGTTTTTTGTATAACTTTTATGTGTTGCTAACAACTTTTCATTTAAAACCATTACAGTGTGTTTTGTCAAATTTATGTTTTCTTTAGTGCGAAAAGACTTTTGAATAACGGAAACATCTATTCTTTAATGCGAAAAGAGCAAATAAATAGCAGAAAGCCCAAACGTTTTATATTTTTCATATTCAACCAAGAATTTTATGGCTCCGTATTCCCTTAAAGAAAATTCTTGTCTTAACTTAACAAAAATATTTCAAGGCAAGGCAGAAAAAAATGCTCTTTTTTCAGAATATACTTTCATAATAATATATATCGGTTACATTATTTTGTTCTCTTGTGACGAGTTAGTGAGGTAATGAAGATATATTATATCACCCATCTTGCCTGTTTAGATACCATTAAGTAAAAAGATGAACCTGATAGCGCCAGCCAGGATCGAGTTCCCCGGCGGTTCACAGGCAATGGATAGAACTGAACATGGTATGTGCACATCATTTCTAAACAAATTGTCACGTAACTCCGCCATTTTGAATACGCAATTGGCTAGATGCTATGTCAATAAGCATAATCGGACTAACAAATTATAGGAGCCATCGACAATATGAAAGTATTCACAGTTTTCTGCAAGATATCTTAAGTCATAAACTAATTCTTTTACAAACATGCTTTGAATTTCAATGTGGAGAAATGTTCAGCAGTATTCAGAGTTTATGCTATTTATTTTGGATAGTTTTAGATTAACGTTTTTGAAAGTGAGTACTATTACAAAATTCACCGAGAAATTATTGAAAGCATTTTGATTATTAATTTATCACGCCAAAAATTCAACCGTCTTTTAGATTTATTTGAACTATGTCATTATTAGTATACGAATATGTAAAAAAATGGAAATGATTTTAGAATGTATTGCAAATATAATCATGTCTACAGAATCAGGCTTTGACATGGACTACTCAAAACAACAGCTTGACAATGAAATTGTAGAAATGAAAACGAAACGTGCCTCATTCAATATTTACCATCCGGATGCCTGTGAGTTTTATTTTTTACCTTTGTTTATCAATATTTTTCAGCTCGTCATAACAAGTCAATGGACTTTGGAAAACTGATAAAACGCTCGCGTCTTTCACAAATCAATGGCAAAGAAACGGGCTTCGTTGGAGGTAAGTCGCAGCTTTATTTACATAATCAAGTACCACTCTGGATGTTACGTAAAAACAGAGATAGCTCACATATATTGTAGATTGAGCGGATGCGTTTGTTTCTTGGTTAGAGAAAAAAAATAGAATTCAAGAATAAAATATTAATCGAACTTAGTGGAAATCATTTTTGTAAGAATGTTTCAAATAAGGATTTTCGTAGTCATGATAGTATTTTCATGATTCATAACATCCAATGATTTTTTGCGATTAAGGCTTAAGTTTGTCGTCATTAATGTCATATAAATGGGTAATAAAATATACTTTTTTTATAAAAATACTTAATTTAATTATCATTTATTTACGAGGCATGACCCCTATAAACAACGGAACAAAACAAATCGCACAAAATGCAAAAAAAAAGGAAAAAAACTTGCATAGACATTATTGTCCTCAATTTAGATATCACTCATTTGCAAATGAGTATCAGTATTGTTTTTACAATCACATATTTTTATTAATGGTTTAACATCTAATTTTTTATCACGATGAATCGAGTATAAACACTTGTTTAACATGTATATATTTATCAATTAGTTTAATTGATTTGTTATTTTCCGAACTGTTTTCAAATTACTTTTTAAAATATTATACGCTTTTGATTTAGGTTTGTGGCATAGAAAATATGGTAGCGACCGGAAACATTCTTTACATAAAGAGATAAAGTTGAAAAAACGAAAGAAAGAGCACGGTAATTATTTTGACATTTTTATTCATTTAATGTTTCCGTCCGGCTTTATTATTCGAAATAATTATTTCATTTCGAAAAAAGTTACTTTTTAACTAACGAAAGGAAGCAATAACGGTGAGCACATTTCTTGTTCAAAATTATTCATGTCATGCAAATCTACTTCTGTGTACATTTATTTAATTAATACCAACATTTAATATATCAATACAGCTGAAGATGGGCCATTATGGCATAGTTGTTGTCCACATTTTCAAATAAAACCAAATAAAATCAAATCTCAAATGATTATATTTTAGCGAAAGAATATTCTGCTAAAAGCGGTCTTAACTTGTTGGCAGAATATGCAGCTAAATCATCGACAGATTTACAGAAAAAGAAGCGAAAAGTCGAGGAAACTAATGGTAAGAAACTTTCCATGTCCCGTCACATAGCGTCATTCCGTTGTTTAGGATTAAAGCAGCACACCTTCAGATTCAAGCAAAATTTCATGAATAGTTTGAAAATGAATTTTAAAGTAAAATATTGTGGAGTGAACAAAAAAAGTAGTTTACACATTGTAAGCGGCACTTTCTATCTACTTTAATTACCAAAAAGAGTTCAAAATATGCAAACAATAACCCTTACTACGATAGTCACGCAGTAAAATACGAAGATAAATACTGCAAAATCGGTCATTTATCGCACATAATATGTAAATTATTACTTGAATGTTAAATCTTTTCACTTTTCTTAAAACCTTAGGTCTTTATTCTCGCGTTTGATGTCATTTTCTTGAAATATTTTGGCTCATCTGGATGCATGCAGCTTTAAAAGTAAAATCATATGAAAGAACTTTTAATTGAAGACGCGTTTTTGTTTGTTTCTATGTTTAACGATTAGCTAATTTGTGCGCCATTCGATTTTAATTAAATGATACATATTTGATGGTCAAACATGGAGTAACTATAATATATCACTAATGACTATTAGGTATATGGCCATATTCATTGTACTTCCATTTACAGAAAACTACCATTTTCGTTATAAATGTAGAATCGATGCTCTGAATATATGAGCCGCATCATGACAAAACCAACATAATGGGTTTGCGACCAGCAAGGATCCAGACCAGCCTGCGCATCCGCGCAGTCTGATCATGATCCATGCTGTTCGCTTACCAACCCTATTACAAGTAGAGAAATGATAGCAAACAACATGGATCCTGATCAGACTGCGCGGATGCGCAGGCTGGTCTGGATCCATGCTGGTCGCAAACGCACTATGTTGGTTTTGTCGTGACGCGGCTCATAATGTTTGTACAAAATTCACGACTTATCACTTCTGATTTTTGTCATCTAAGGAAACTATTCAGCTAACTTACAGAAGTCCACGATCATTAACAAAGGGACACTTCAGGGATATCTTTCACTTGTAAAGCTGGACAGTCACAAAAAAGATTTTACCAGTGTAGATGTATCTTTAAAAAAGCTCTTCTTAATTACCCAAAAACTGTTTAGTTATTTAAATGGAGATGTATTTACATGAATTGTGTCATATTTTAAGGGTCCACCAATTTGTCGCCGGAATCACCAAACAAAAAGAGGAAGCCGGGAAGGCCAAAGAAATGCGACGTAGTACGACCGGGCGTTACAGGTAACACAATTTTGATATACACAAATCAAATCACAAATATACCCAGATATAATAGTGTCTAGGTCATGTGACTTCTGATTTTCTTTGACATTTAATTTAACAATTTGATACACTTATATACCACTAGTATCAAACTCAATTAAAACCTCTCTAAATGTTTTAGTTTCTCATTTGAAAAAGAATGTCACTCTAAGTATTTTTGACATTTACTTTTAACATTTAAGCTTTCTGCAACTGCCTTTAACTTTGATATACATATGAACAGATTCTTTATATAGCAACTTATATTTTTTCCATGGTTTCACATCATCATTACGTAGGCATTTTAATGAAAGTCTCCCAAAAAAAGAAAGTAGTAGTTTGCCACGGACATCTGAGACACGCACATATTTTGTGACGTTCTCTGCAAAAATGCTATGAACTCAGAAAAACAAATTCTATTCCATACAATATATGATATTAATATTTTTATCTTCAGAGACGATTGTTGCGAAGCAGTCTAAACACATGGATTTCTTCCGATGGCAAGCAGACGACACAAAACAAGAAAGAAAAATAAGCGTAAGTATTGTGAGCCTCAGTTGTATGATGATGTCCTGTCTTTTTATTACATAATTATGCAGATATAAGTTGAATATTTTAACCTTTTTTATGTTTAACACTAGTAGTTGTTGATTTGTTGACGCTGCTGATATTTAAACAATCTTTTATGCCAAGAGTCAACCGGATGTTTTGTCACTTACTTGTTTTGTAATTTTGTTTTGTCAAAACGTCTCCTGTTAGTTGGTTGATTTCGGACAGTTGTTAAAATCAAATTTTATGAAGTGCAAAATTTTATTTTTGTTATCAAAAGATAACAACCCTGAACCTGAAGTGTACTGGATAATAATGATAATTTCTTAAACTAAATTTTTCAGCTGGAAGGTAAAACTCCCCTCAAACCCCTTTACCTTGATGAATGGAACGTTAGGAGGAGCGAGCGAATATTCCTGAGCGACCCTAGTCCACAAACTAGTCCAAACGCCATTTCACCTGGCGTTAAAGCCAAACCGGAAGTGAAGAAACAAGAAAAAGACAGGAAACCAAAACAAGAGAAGCAAAAGAAATCCCAGTCACTTAGTATGTCGCAAAAAGTGAAAAAGAAATACTCGACAGGATTTAGTCAACATAGAGCAAGGGAGAAAACTACAGAATTACTTAAGGTACCACAAGTTTTTACTAAATTGTGTAATTACTTAGTTGAAAGTTGTGTGTAAAAGGTTTTTAAAAAAAAAGATTTTTTTACTAAAAAAAGGATAATTCATGCGAATACATACATGTATTTTTCGACTAAATTTGTGTAATGTTTGGATTCGATTTATTGATACTGATATGATAGTCTTAGCCACAATTGATAAATACTTTTTCAATATATGTTTTTACTTCCTTAAGAATATCAATTTATTTAATTTGCATAATATTTAAAAAAAAAATAATTGCGTTTAACGTTGTGGCTAGTCGATACTTAAATGTACTGAACACATCATTATGCATTTTTGTTGCTAGGCAACACGTGATCGTTTGACCCAGAAACGTCAAGAGAAGAAGATGATGCTGAAGACATCAGTATGTAATGATGACGACAGCGACAGTGACGATATTCCACTCAGTTTATTCAAACCTAAGCCCAAAGTTAAAGGTACAAAAATGAAACATACTGCACAGTTCCGTGCTTTCTAGTTGTTACAATTCTAAATGAATTTCTGAAATTATTTTCCAAGAATTCTTAGAAGACGTGACCTTTGATATAAAACGTAACTTTTCAATCGTCTTTATCTGTGTTTATTGAGTTTTAGATTTTATATAAGCTGATTTTGCAAGATAGTTTTCTACAGGTCCTTTTAAAATTCGAAAGTATCGAATTACTTGGGCAAATTGTTCATGCCATTTATTTTACAAAGTGTGAAATTTAATTGCTATGCGGTTTCTATTCATAACATTATATATTATTAGTTATAAAGATCTCTCACGTGGTATATGGCCATATATTGGCTGCAACCGTGTACATTATATCAAGGTTATGATTATCCAATGAAATGTGTCGTTACAAACGTGTCTTATCAAAATAAAACTTGTTCATGAGTTATTCGTAATTTTCAGTTGAACTGCCACTTTGCACGTTAACAGCAGACGACTTGTGTGACGGTATCAGAATACTCGTGTTTATGGACGGTCTGTTTCACGAGGGGGAACTAAAGGCTATTCGCCCACCTGATATATATGGAGCTATACTAGACAATGAGAGAAAGACACGCCCACATTATTACTCACAAGAAGAAATACTTAAAGAAGCGGTAAGTTTAAACTTGGAGAAGCATTTATTTTAGAAGCAAATGAAGCGGTAAATATAGGAAGACGTGTTAAATTAATTTTGAGAAGCAGTAACTTAAAAAGTAAGGAAGCGGTAAGAGACCTCTGGGAGGGTTAAGTGTTGAAAAAGGAAGTGATAAGTGTATCCTTAAAGAAGCGTTAAGAATAGACTTGAATTAAAACATCTTGAAGTTTTAATTTTTAGACTAAAAAATCAATAATTTTAAACGGTAAAAGTAGACTTTCAGTTTAAAAAAGTAGTAACTTCTACTAACAGAAGTTGTCAATTACAAACGGTATAATTATACTTAAGATTTAAAGAAGTAATTAAGTTCTACTTTAAAGGAGTTGTTGTTGATTTACACTTTAAGATTTGGTAAGTTTTAACACGTTCAATGCACACTTGTTCTACTGACTTTCCGTGTTTTAAATGAGATATGTCATATCACACATTGACATAAGTAGTCTTTTTTCGTGATACGTTCGATTAAGCTTATGTAACTGGCAGTGGCAAATATGTCTTACGTAATTACAGAAGACCTTCCTAAACAAAGAATGTCCTCAATCTGTAGGATATACTGACTTACCTCCGCACACATATGCGGTCTTTACCCATGATATTTAAGTGTAATAATTAAACTAGATAAAATAACCACAAATTTAATTACTTACATATTCTTCGGATAATTACTTTTTTCTTGTTTCAAATACTCGCATTTCGAAATGTTTAATGCACTTAGACATACATTATAACCGTGATATGGTACTTATGATGACCAACTTATTATGAATAAGAAACATAATGGAATCATAAACTTGTCTAGAAATCCATGTGTGTATGATTTCTAGAATGGCATGTCTGTCTTATAAAGTTACATCAAGCCAATATATATCCTGTTTATTATAGAAATACAAGTTTATTGTAAATATATTAAATTAAAGTCACCTATTAAAGGTACACTGCAGGATAAAATTGTCATAGGGAAAGTAATGGAGCGAAAACTAATGCTACAATGAAAATGATATAGCATGTGTCTTTGAGAGCTTGCGTGTGTGTACTTATTCATATACGATACAGAAATCATGTTATGCTTTTGAGAAAAAAATCATGTAGTGCAGGGGCTCTTCAACACGGAAGCATAAATTCGTTTTGGAGAGTTTCATATTATAAAGCAAAGTTTACGGCGAAGTCAGTCTCGTGACATAATATACATTAAAAAGCTTTCGCTCATGTCTGTATTGCTTCACCATACCATGTAAAAAAATTCGCCTTTCAGACATCGTGTTTATTTAAATGAGCCGTGTCACGACAAAACCAACATAGTGCGTTTGCGACCAGCATGGACCCAGACCAGCCTGCGCATCCGCGCAGTCTGATCAGGATCCATGCTGTTCGCTATCAGTTTCTCGACTTGTAATAGGATTTGTAAGCGAACAGCATGGATCCTGATCAGACTGCGCGGATGCGCATGCTGGTCTGGATCCATGCTGGTCGCAAACCCATTATGTTGGTTTTGTCGCTCAAATGTACGAGTGTTGACATTAACATGTTGATATACTTCGTTTTACACAAGATTTAATATCATTTCCTGCAAGGATATAACGTATCTGTCCTAAGATGATAATTTGGTCTTAACGGTACATGGGAAAGTCGAAAAACGGGGTTATCTGGATTATTATCCGATATCGTAAAATATACTATATAGCATTATTCTTACAGAATCGTTTGTGTATTAACGTTATGGCTCTGTCGGTAAGTCGGAGTAATTGTAACTATTAGTGCTTTGTACTCATAGGTTCGAACCCCATTAAGTGTCATAACCACACTTTTTTCTCCAACTCTGTTTTTTATCATTATTCTTTATTTATTTTTCGTTTTCCTTTTTGTTTTCTTCTTATAATATATATTTTAAAGTATATATATTTTTTTTTATTTCCATTCTGTTTTCTTTTTGTATTTTTGATCGCAGTGTAATAAAATATTCGATATCATATTTATGTATGTATATGAAAAAACCGGTCAAACTTGTTTTCTGAACAATTGGCTGTTCTGAGGTAAAAATAAATGTGTGTTACCAGTAGTCGAACTTCTGCCTGTACGGGTAAAACACATTACTGACACGGTTGCTCTACCTACTGCCCTAACAAGTCATATGGTACTATGAAATTTTATTTTCATTTTATAGGTTGTGGCATTGATCTGCCTAACCTATTTTTCGCATTGTTATTGGTTTTTGTTATGTAAACAAAGGCTCAAGTTATCATCCTAGGACAGTATATACATGTATCATACTATTAAGCTATGATATAAACAGATATGAGTTCGGACATAACATTCTTCATAAATGAGCCATAAAAGATACGTTTTACTGTAAAATACGTTTTACTGTTTAACAAGGAAAAGATTACTGTTGATTATGAAAAATGGAGAAATGATACATTTATTAGTTAATACTGAAGTACTGAAGTTAAATAAAACTTGGAAATGAAAATATTCATTTTTTTTACAGATAAAAGACACGAAACCGTTAAGTGGGGACCAGCTGAAAGAAGGAACCAGGATATGTGCTTACTGGAGCCAGCAATTTAGTTGCCTGTACCCTGGAACTATTTCAAGAGGTACACGTATAAGTGATTTCTTTCGATTTATTCTTAATTTTTCATTTTTCGATTTATTCTTAATTTGTCAGTAGTTTATGTTTATACATAGTGAATATCAGGACGAAATTTTCCATATGCCGTCGTTATGTTTTACTTGTCTATGCAATAGATTTAAATGTGCATGTAGTTAAGTAAAAATAATTCGTTGTCGCACTTTATTAGTACAATACATCACAATGTCATTAGAATATTTTCGTTCATTACTGTAACAATAGATTTACATATCACTTTTGTTCTGCGTTGCTAGGGACCCCAAATCCAATTACAGACAGAAGTTTATATAATGTTGAGTTTGACGACGGTGATACAGGGAAAATTCCGCTAGACCACATCCGAATCATTCCGCAAGATTTTCCCCATGTTGGTAAGTTTCACAGGCAATATATTTTTATATGGACATAATTTGTTTGCACACGATATATAAAGTCAGTCCATGTCTTTTTGTAAAAGAAATTATGTTTTTTACTGTTGTTGTTTTTTTTCACTTCAGTCATTTATTTCTCAACACATTTTTGTATAAATGTTCCATTAGGAAATCGTCAACGATTTGTTTGGTTTTCCGATCGTATCAATGTATAAAAAGACAATTTATCCCTTAAAAAGAGCTAAGAGCTGATTATTCACAATCGTTTAAAAGCTGTCCTGAAAATGATAAAATATTAATCTCTTAGTTCAATAAAATTTTATTGAACGCCGATGGCTTTGATATTATTGTATATTTAAATATTCAAACAATAAAAATCATCCTTATTGAAAAGACCTTGTACTAATATTCCATTAACTGTTTTAAAAGAATATGACCCAAACCCACTCTTGTTGCTCACGGCACGGCGGAGAACCATGTCGACATCAGAAAGTGTTAGCACCGAACCGAAGAAATCAGTATCTGAGTCAAGTAAAGACCCAAAGATAAAACGCGGACCGGGAAGACCGCCTAAGGCTGAACGTTTGATGTCCAATGAATCTATGGGTGACGAAGATGTATTCATTAGCGATACACAAAAAGATCATGACAAAAAGAACAAATCAGGAAATAAGAATGGTTCAGATGAAAAGAAAGGCCAAGGTAAGAATGGTATTTAGTAATTATGAAATGTTATAATAAGCTTCTTTTTTTATTTGAAAACCAAATATTTTTGTTTGCTTATGAAGAAACTGAATGCTTGCTGTGTTCATTTGTAGAAAGAAATAATTTATTTTCATTGAAAGCTATGTTGTTTTGTTCTATGATAATGAAGCCATGTTGATATTGTGTTCTTCCTGAAATAATTTTTGTAATATTCTTTACAAGTTTCACCTGTCTTTTTATAGTTAGTCATCAAAGCTTTTTTTCAGTTTTGAGCAAATGCATGCAACAGTTTAGTAACAGTTGCACGTGTACAATGTATGTTTAAAGCTACCCGGGCCATATTCATCAAGTGTATTAAATGTCTGCACATATTTTATTGTGATTGTCAGTCACAGAATTCTGTTTGTATTAATAATCATAATCGGACAGAATCGTTATAATGCCTGGCATTGATGAATTTGGCCCGCGTTTGTATTTATATTTTAGCTACTATTCTTTAATTTACTTTTTTGTTATTTTTTCCCTATATACAATTTGCTGATTAATTATTGAATTATGGATGAAATCAATATAAATATATACCCAATAATTTCTTACCATTGCTATGAAGTAGTAAATGATAACATTGATAATTAATAAAAACTAAGACCATTTCAAATTATGTCTTTTCCAAAAACACGTATTTTTCCTGTTGATTCGCTGAACTAGCATTGACTGTAAATGAAAATAACTGCATTTGTTCTATGTACATATTTCTTGTATAGGCGTATACTTTGAATACTTTTGCAATGAATTGAATAGTCGAAAATAAGGCGATAGATTTAGAAGCTAATCATAGGTGTTATTTTTAGTTACACTTTTCCGACCACGTGGTCTATGGGAGTGGTCCGGAAGTTGCACAAAACGTCCCGGTATGAAAGGAAAGGCAAAGAAAGAATATTATAAAACAGTTGTACGTGCTAGAGAAAGTTTATCGGTATGTATAAGAGTCATAAAGTCAATAAAAGGTGACTTATCATATCATTTTAACATTCATTTACCATACTCTTTCATTCATATACCATACTCTAACATTCATATACCATAATTAACCTATGATTCATATACCATACTGTCAAAAACCGGAATCATGCTCCTCATTTAATATACATGCAGCATGCCCATAACGACATTCTGTAATGGTGTATAATTTTACTAATTGACCAATACTCTACATTTAATTCTAAATTTTTTGTACCAAAAATGTACTTTTTATGCTTTGAAATTGTTATAGTCTACTCGGGTGCCCGCTCGTGCAGTGGCACTTGAGGTCTTCCTCCGTGAGTAAAGCTGGAAATCGTCATATGCCCACCAGAGTGTCAGTATCACTTTAAACCCAACAGCAATATCAATATTTGGTATACGTCGATAGAAGTTTTAAGGTATTTTAACATTCAAATAAAATTGAGCAGCTGACGGTAAAATGTCTTGACAACTTTTTACACGGACCTTATTGTAAACGTATTTTAAAAGCGTTTGTTTAGATACTCGTCATAAAAATGCCAAAATATACAACTTACTTATTTTATTGGATCTATGTTTTCATTTGAATTGTTGTTTGTATAAATTCACGTACATTTGTTAAAATAATTATAAAAGTATACAAAAACAGGTACAAAACCAAGAGGAGCAAGAACTGAATTGTGATGGTAAACTATACTGTATTTTCAGAAAGGTTTTTCAAAAAAAATCATTTCCGAAAATCCTCTCACTTTTTCATCACAGTCTTTTATTAAGCCTATTGAAATGCCAACATGATGGCAAATATACTTCATTTCTGCTTTATTCATTGTCATTTATTTCATTAATCATGGACTGAACTGAAATGTGCCGTTCATTTAAATCTCATTACGCCACATTTTCGTTTTTTTCCATGATATGCATCTCATTGTTTCATGTTGTCATTCATTTTCATCTGCTATCATGTTTTCATTTTTCATGCCAGTTTTCTTTTTCTTAAGTTGTTGTTTTGCAATTTGTTTATTGTAAAGAACTACGCCTTTGCTTTACGTCATTTCTTTGGCCCGGCTCTCTGCTTTATGATACAAGCAAGACTTGGATACAGGGTCATTTTTTTCTGAAAATGATAGGCAAAAATACTCCTTTACGTACATGAGTAAAGTTTTTAACCAAGAGAAAAAAGGTGGCAATACGAAGTTAGACTAATAAATTATTTGATAAAGATATTTTCTCTACAAATCTGTGCTCGTCTGACAATGTTTTTCGTTACGAATGTTCTTGTTATCAATTTTGTTACCATTCATTTATCATGCACCATCAGTCATTAATCCATTTCACGTTAATCCAGCTAAAACCATTATAATTAAAAACTGCGACATATAGTTATGTTACGTGAATATGGTAATTTTACATCTAGGCAACTTGTATTAGTGAAATTCTTGTATTAAAATAATGTCTGCAGCAAATGATAAGGATCATATTATCAGAGTTTAGAATTCAGATGAAGTTCCCGAGGTTATTTTAGAAGTCAGATGAAGTTCCCGAAAACACGTTTTAAGGTTTTGCGTGTTTTTAATTTGGCTATCAAACGATTTGGTTGATAACGTATCTTCATTTGAAGGGAGCTAATGTTACATGTTATGAGAAAAGTTATCTACCTTGTTTTGTAGGTGGGGGAGTGCGCCGTGTTTCTCTCTACAGGGCGGCCAAATTTGCCGTACGTTGGACGTATTGAAAGTTTCTGGGAAGGATGGGGCGGTCAGATGGTGGTTAAGGTCAAATGGTTCTATCACCCAGAAGAGACCAAGGGAGGTAAACGACTGCAAAATATGAAGGTAATTTATATTCTAATGTTTTTGCGTGAGAGAGAAAAGAAATGACAAAACCACCAAGTTGAATATACATTAGACTTGTTAAAACTCCTATTTCTAAACTAAGCGAGTTATACTGAATGTCTATTTTAAGAGTTACTTGATTCTTAATTTTTTTTGTTTTTTATCACAAAACAGCTTGAAGTCATAGAGCAGAATAATTTGATGAATTCTTTAATGAAACAAGCGGAACCCTTGCGCCAACGGGGCATGCCATTGTATATAGAACTATTAATAGATCTTCTAGTAAATGCTAACCTAAATAGGCCTAGTAAACACTTTTTGTTCTCTACAGTAGTTCTATATATCATCCAACAATAACATATTTATTTAAAACAAAATTTATCTTAGTCTAAGCAGTCCGTGTTTACTTATGCTGACCTGTTCTGTTCTTACAGGGAGCACTCTTCCGGTCTGACCACGAAGACGAAAATGATGTACAAACCATTTCTCATAAATGTGAAGTCATTTCCTATGCGGAATACAGACGCCGAATTGACGTCATTTCTCACGAGGACACCGATGACGTATATTATCTCGCAGGTTCATACGAGCCAACGATAGGTCATATTAAGTTTGAACCTGGGGTTGTTTGAGATACAAATGATTTGGGTGACACAGTTACTTAATTACACGCAATGACTGCGCGCAAATTGCAGACGGCATGGAACGCTAGTGTAAAAGTGTGTTCAGAATCTAGCAAGTGATATGAAAAAAAAAACACGAGAACTTAAGGGTATGGCCAGACCAAGTGGCAGAGCCAGTACATGAGCATCTGCAATTAAAAAAGATTGTATAAACACATACATGTACATGTGTAATATATGCTTACATGCTTAATATTTGGGTGAATATCTTGACCTGTTTGTACAGTGCTAAAATTTGTATTACATGATTTTAGAAACCGGCTAATAAGTTTGTTGTTAACCGGTCTTTGATCTTTGATGATTATTTTTACATGTTTGCCATAAATTGCTCTTCTAAATATAGAAATTTATAAATAGATATGTTTCAAGGCTAATTTGATATTTTCCAATTGTTTTGTTTCAATGGTAATTGTTTTTGTGTAATAAATGTAAATAGAAAGTTGAGGATGAATATCATGATTATATAGAGTTTGTAAAATGTAAATAAGTGTAAATAGTAGATCTCAAAGGTCAAATTCATATTCTGTGAATTCCAAGTCTTTCATCCTTTCTCTTCCCTAGCAGTTTTATATTTTCTGTGTTTATAGATTTGTAAAAGGCAAATGTTTTCAACATTATAAAAGAAATCCAGTGCGATTTCCAAACTTGTTAAACTTATTGCAATATTAAAACGTGATTTAACATTGTGAAAATACAGCTGATTAATGAAAGATTAATTTTGATAATTTAATTATTTGATGATTAAATAAAGGTATTTAAGAAATTTTTATTTTGTATGACATTACAGACCAAATTTTAATAGAATTTTAATTAAGCTATAGCCCACTTGCGGCAACTGATTTTACGCATGCGCAGTATCGTCTGATTATGGTCTGCAATGTTCGCTATTCTGTCAGTATGTATTTTATAGAAAATCTCCCTGTTTATGATGAATGGTTTGTCCAGATTTAAAGATTGACAAGTCCATTTAATATATTTAGGATGTTAACACCAAATTGAGAAGTCAACAGTAATGTCTGGTTAGACTGCAGGCACTGTAGTGATGTCACGTGATGTGCATGTTGTATTATATTTACATTAACATGATCCCTTTTAATGGATATTCTATATCATTTAGGTATTATTTTGACTTAAACGTTTAATTTACAGTAATGACAATTTAGTAAAAGTCAATGACAATAACTTGTATTTTTCGTTGTTTGAATTATATTATAAAAAGTATTTTCTGTCACGTGACTTTTTCATGTTTTCACATTTGTATTGGATTTATTCTAAATGTTTTCTCTCGTTGTCATAAAGTTCTTTTCTTGACTGTGTTCATTCCAATATTTGTGTTTGTGTTACTTTATACGTCTCAATATGTTTTTGCAAGTATTTCTTTAAAGAATACAAAATATATGTTAAATTGTTTCATTTTAAGCTAGCAATTTGTATATGTCAGCATAGAACCAGTTATTTACGACCACTTGTACATTGAAATCATCTGTCCTTTGAGGTCATTTGTATTTGTATGTTAAACGCAAATGTTGAATTTCCACATGTGAATTCAAAATTCTTTTTCACAGACGCAAAGGTTTTGCTTTTGCAAGGGTGGTCTTTAATATAGTTTCTTTTCGCTTCATATCTTCATAATCATTACATTTATTAATCAGTCATGCATAATGTTATGTTAAACATGTATATATATCACTTGTATTTATTTTTATCACAGTAGAAAATATGTTCCATAAACGTTACGAATATTTCATTTTGTAAAGTTTTGAAGCAAGGGAGGCCACTCTGCATAATAACCCATTAACATTTATTTGTAGTCGAAGACCTTCCCACTCACATTTACACTCCCATGGGTAGTTTTAAAAAACACACAGTTAGTATGTGTTCATTTTCATTTATATGCCATTCAGTATATAAAAAGGCGGTGTTGCTTTTTTAAAAATGTCCTTTTTAATAGTTTATGTCTCATTTTAAGTCTACAATTTATTTTGCAAGAAAGCAATCTAATATAAACTTTTTAGTTTTATGAATAACATTATTGCTTAAAGGCCAATTATGCCTCAGAAATACTTTTATTTTATGTTCTCAAAAGCTTTTAATTTAACGTGTCCTGTTACAGTCTCCAAAAAGTAACTATATTGGCCAATTACCTGAGCCATTTAATCCTTCTGTGGCTTTTTAGCAATTTAAGTAATATCGATTTATTAATTTGTTTAGAAGTCTAAATACTTCTTTGTTAACATTATGTTACTTTTATAACAAATAGTTTTATATTCAGCACGTCTTTCTTCAAGTGATAAGCATGTGACATACCCTTAAACCATTATTTGAACATTATAAAACTCATGTCTGCCTTTTATGCGGAAATACTTATTTGTTTCTGAGGCGTAATGTGCCTTTAAAGAAAATCTTCTATTCTTTTTACAAAAAATATTTATAAATAAACTTGTTACATTTAAGAAATTAATGTTAAAAAGCGTTTTCGAAATCGACAATATTCGTAAAATGTACAAATCTTTCTCTTGATTATAAACTCTGAAATGTAATCATATTTCGCGAGTTTTATACATAGGTATTTCATGTACATGAATGTTGAAAAGGAAAATATGCTGTTTGTATGTAAAACAAAAACATGTGCCTTACTTTGTGTGCTAGGTGTATGACCGTTTGTTTGGGTGATTGTTTGGGATCTGTATTACGTAGAAAGAAAAATAATCATTTTCAAGATGTATGATTTCAGATTTTGTAAAGAAAACTTTAATAAATCTGTTACCACATCATTTAAAAGAATGCATGTTTACCAATTTAACACGTTTAAAATTTTAGAAACTATTACTGAAAGTAAAAAAAAAATTTAATCTTTCATTGTGGGTTTTCTGTGTATGTGTTTTTTGAATGTTTTTATCACTTTTTTTCAACAATAAAAAAAACAATACCATTTTGAATCAAGTTTTATTGAAAAAAAAAGAAATATAAGGATTTTTCTCTTATCTTTTTTATTGAAAAAATATAGGTATGGAATGTATGAGACTGCGAGATGATAGATCTACAATGTCTTCTATGTTTTCCGTTACATATATGAATGAAACCATATTAAAAAATTATGATAATTCGAGGTGACATTGTTTTTATTCTTGTACTAGATACATGAGAGTGATTGATACTGGTTTATATTTGTTCACATTCTGTTCGTTTAAAGTGTCATTATTTCTCATTTTTTCATAGGCAAGATAAGCTGTATTGACTATATATTTCAAAAGATTAACTGTTATAATGGTGATGGACCAACACTTGATACTGGGAAGTGATCAGGAAAGAATATAAAGCTGCCAAAATGCAGCGTCACGACAAAACCAACATAATGGGTTTGCGACCAGCATGAATCCAGACCAGCCTGCGCATCCGCGCAGTCTGATCAGGATCCACGCTGTTCGCTTACGAACCATATAACAAGACGAGAAACTGATAGCGAACAGCATGGATCCTGATCAGACTGCGCGGATGCGCAGGCTGGTCTGGATCCATGCTGGTCGCAAACCCATTATGTTGGTTTTGTCATGACGCGGCTCATATATAAAAAAGACTGACCTATTCTATTTATAAATTGAACCTACATGTAACTTCCCATGGATATTTACAGAATTTTCTTGTGCCACGTGAGTAATTTATTGTTTCTGCGAAGAAAAATTTTTAATTGAAAGGAATTATGACACGTCTGCGAAGAAAAATTTTTAATTGAAAGGAATTATGACAGAATGTAAACTTATTTTGACTTTTACCTGTTCACTCACTATTTACCCTTGGATGGGCATAATGTCACTTTTAATAAAGGAGTGAAATAAAACTGTTAAAAGCGAAAAGGATATTTGTACTCTTAGCGTTCTTTCTTTCCATTTACTTAAAAGTGCTAGGTCATTATAACTCATTACTTTAACTGTTAACATTAAAGATGGACATTTTATGTTGCTTTTTTGTCATGTCAATATATTTTTTTCATCTGAAACGTTATTAGTAGTATCTCCTTTGTCATGAAAATAAATATTTTTATTTTATCTGAAAATGAAATAGAAACGTCTTTAGTAGTATAGTTTAATTTGTTTAATCGAACGTTTTGTCAGTATTTATGTTTTAATTTTTTTGTTTGCATGCACATGTATTATTTACTACATTGATATGAATGTGATATAAATGATTATGTGCTTTATTGTTGGTTTGATTGTTTTCTTTTATTTTTTTTCTGTATATTTTATGTTTGTTATTTCTTTTATGTTTATTTTACGGCTTTAATGCTATACAAATTTTACTTACCATGCACTATATGTTTTAGTATCGCTATAAGTGCTTATATGTTATCAAATTTGATTAGCAAACTATCATTTTTACATTTTTTTCTCATCTTTTTATTTCTCATACTTTTTGAAGAAGAAAAAATAGCATTTGTTGATAGTGTTCATACATTTATGATAATATTGTTACGTGATTTTAAAGATTGTTATGTGATGAATAATAACGAAACTTTTGAATAAAGTTTCTAAAATAGCTTTTAAATAGTCTTTATTTTTTTGGTGTGAATGTATTTAGTCCTTCAAATGCCTCGATTTAATATTCGAAATTGCACCAGTTTCGTGTTTAATGTTGAATTCGCTTTAGCCGGTGCTAAGGGGGGGGGGGGCTTGGCTGGTAACTTGCTTATCAAACCGAAACTGAAACATTTTCAATTTTACCGTTTTGAATTCCGCTTTTGTTCTATTTTTAGCTCACCTGTCACAAGTGGCAACCAAAAGAAAAAACTTAAAATATCTTCTTTTAAAAAGCCAAAAGAGCTTGAGATTAGATATTTGGCATGAAACATCTTTTAATGAGTGTCTACCAAATCATTAGCTGATTCGTGTAAACTTTTTCACTCAGCCAGCATGTAAATCAACACGACATAAATGAGTCACAATAGAATTATAATACTTTGTTTTTTCGCTTTAATAGCGAACCACTCTAAAGTTGTGTTATTTTTTTCTTTTCGGCCAGTCAAATGTAAAACTGCATGTTATAACTGTTATAAACTACAAAGTATATCAAGACATTAGTTAAACTTTATGGCATCAGTGAGCTATTTTTTGCCCGTCATATGTAAAACTTCATTGCATAATTAAGGGGGTAGTGGCCAGAAACACAATTGCAAATATTTCAAATTCTGTTACACAGGCAGATAACCAGTTGCACAGCATTGTTCAAGGATATATGACATACATTGAAGAAAATAATAGTTTGCATGCATTGCTCCTAAAGATTATGTCTGACAGCAATTTATATTTACCCACACCCAACAATAGTCATACCTGAAATATACGTATACAGGCCATCTTCATGGATACTCCAGTATGAGCCCGATTCCTTAAAAATATCACTAACACACAGTGCAATTAATGGAATTTTCAAAAGTGTCCAATTAACTGTCTGTCATACATTTAGAGTTTTCACAAAATTTATCCAATGTTTCTTACTTGTTTGGTGCCAACTGTTTGATTTTTAACTTTTTCACCTCCATTCGGAGAGTCACAATTACATACAAAGCTACCAAAATAATAAGTTTCGAGTAAAAACCCAAAAATACTGCTAATTTCCTACACACAAACAAGAACAAGATAAGGGGGTAGTGGCCAGAAACACAATTGCAAATATTTCAAATTCTGTTACACAGGCAGATAACCAGTTGCACAGCATTGTTCAAGGATATATGACATACATTGAAGAAAATAATAGTTTGCATGCATTGCTCCTAAAGATTATGTCTGACAGCAATTTATATTTACCCACACCCAACAATAGTCATACCTGAAATATACGTATACAGGCCATCTTCATGGATACTCCAGTATGAGCCCGATTCCTTAAAAATATCACTAACACACAGTGCAATTAATGGAATTTTCAAAAGTGTCCAATTAACTGTCTGTCATACATTTAGAGTTTTCACAAAATTTATCCAATGTTTCTTACTTGTTTGGTGCCAACTGTTTGATTTTTAACTTTTTCACCTCCATTCGGAGAGTCACAATTACATACAAAGCTACCAAAATAATAAGTTTCGAGTAAAAACCCAAAAATACTGCTAATTTCCTACACACAAACAAGAAAGAATTACAATGACAGAAACATATCAAAAGTCTTCAGTACCTTCAAAACACTATGTCTGTGCTTTTAATAAAATTTGAATTCGAATATGTCCCCTGTCCCTGCACTATAAAATGATGTTAGTTTGTCCTTTTCGCACAGTCACTGGCATAAGTAAGTCACTCTTAATGTGTGCAATTTTGTCTCTTCGCCTTGTCACATTAAGTTTCATGAATAGATTTGTGTAATGGTAATTCAATTCAATTCAATGTTTATTTGGCTTTAACATATATACAATGTTTATCGCCAATACATATAGTATTCTGGGGCACAATACAAAACAATACATATTTTGAACATGAGAAAAGCATGGTAATAACAATTATATACTTTGAACATAAAAACATATAAATTATTTACGACATTATAACACAGGTTGCACAATACATAAATTATTTATAATCATCCTCTTAAAGAAAATGATTGGTATATATATTTAGCTAGCTTAATAATAGGACTGCTTTGAGAACTGTTAAGAAGATTTTTAAACTTGAATAAATTAGGCCAATGAAAATAATAATTTGGCAAACATTTGATACGTAATTCTCTTTAAAACGGACAAACTAACAGGAAGTGATATCGTTTTCAATGACTTCATTTACTTTTTGGACACATTTAAAGGTTTTTTTTATTTTCTATGTTTTCCTTTTTCATAAGTAAGTTAAATGGCAGAGCATCAAATCGGGTCAAATAATTTTTGATTTTTCGTTCTTAATGCCTTAAAGTCACAATTCAGGATTTTTACTGCCGTCCTTGATAGGACCATTCCCGATTAAAATTGTCAAAAGTCTGATCAAGATCCTGTGATTCGTGACTGGAATTCAAACTTTTATCAAAATTTGTAAAAACTTTATTTAATCAAGACAACAATCAGATATTGTTCAGAAGGGCGTCCCGATCCAGCAGGACGTTTCCAGCAGAGTTTCGCCCGATTTACCCGTTCTTAATCCATTTCTTTGATCCGATTTGTATCTTTGTAATGGTAAAAAACGACCAAATCTGTCCCGACAGCGTCCAAATCTCCCGAATGCGATCCGACAGAGATCAGACAGTGACGAGACAATGAACTGACTCTGACGGAAGACATCGTTAGTAAACCGTTTCATCGTGATAGTCCCGTGATGGGTCCCGTCCTATAAGGAATTTCAACTTGTCGCATTTTAATTATAAATTTAATTTTAAACTGCTTGCTGATATGCTTTATTTATATTACAGCAAACTTGTATAATTCAAAAGTAATCTCTATAATCTGTATAATTATTGCAGAACACTTGTAAGATTTGAAATAATCTGAATTGATATTACAGAAAAAATGTTACCTCTTATTATTGAATGTGATAACATATTGATCAGACATGAACATTGTTCAAGATAAAAAATATATTGTGTTTTCTTGTTTATTATTGTATGAAATTTTAACTTTAAAACTTTATTAAACCTATTAAATTTTAACTTTAACTTTTTGCCAAACAAGTGGCCTTTAATTATAAAGTAGTCCAAACTAGGAGTTAACCCATTCATAAATAAAATAAATATTTCATAAACATTAAACAATATTTTACTTTGCTACACAATAAGTAATGTCACAAGTTAAACTCCGCTGTTATATTTAAAAGACAATGATACATACAAGATGTGACACATAATAGCAAAGTGTTCTGTCATTTTATCATATGGTCTTCATTCACGGCGAGGGTTGACAATCCTCATCTGCCAAGGTACAGATACAGCGGCAGAGTTAAGATAATGTTTGAGATATTGTCTCTGCTTCTTGCCCTGTATTGTTGCACGGTTAGCACCCTGAACATTGACAACGTCAAGCATGTCTCGGCCAAATCTCTATTCTTCGGTACGATCCTTGTGTCCTCGACATCTTCACTTGATGTTCATGTTTAGGTAGCGTATTCTCATTAAGTTGTGGAGACAGACACAAGCCTGTACGATGATTCTCGCATTGTAAGGAGTGTGTTGCATGGTTGACAACAGTATTTGAAATCTCTGAGCCAAGATGCCAAACACAACTCTGCGTGCTCTTGACAGCCTGTAGTTAAAGATCCTTTCTTCTACTGTCATGTTACGGAAAGGGAAAGGCTTCATCATATCAGTTCTCAGTTGAAAGGCATTGTCAGCAACAAAGAAGTATGGCATATTTCTGTCATCTCTAGGAAGTGGCTCAGGATCAGGAAAGCCAATGGTTTTGTTCTGCTGGACTTCTTTCAGCTCACAATCGTTATATATATGTGCGTCTGAAGCTGCTCCATCTGGCCCAACATCAAGCCAAATAAATTTATAGTCCGCATCTATGAGGGCCATCAAGACTATGGAGAAGAAGCCCTCGTAGTTATGGTAGGTAGATCCGGTATTTGGTGGGCACTTGCACGCAGCGTGCTTTCCGTTTAATGCACCGCACACATGTGGGAAGTTCCATCTGCGGAGAAATTCATTTGCGATTTCTTTCCACTCCGCTGGGGTAGTGGGGCAGGCGATTACCTCTGCAGCGTACTCATCAATGATAGCTTGGCAGACTTCAGGGACAAACATCGACATGGTGTTACTGGGAACCCTGAATTCCCACTTTATGCTGCTGTAACTGTCGCCGGATGCCAGATGCCTCATGGTACAGGCAAACTTCAGACCTGGATCAATGGCTTGCCTCCACCAGGTATCTTGTTTGGTGATGCGGGGTGTGATCCGAGTCAGGACTTCATCGTATAGTTCCATGGGCAGCCTCGTGTAGTTGATGAAAGCTTCTGGATCTTCTTCTCTCAGCTCCCTCATCAATGTTTCATACTGGCCGAGCTGCTCCCTTCTGTACATCCAGGGCTTGACCCAGTATCTTCTATTTCTACCGGGTTGCAGTGCCCTTCTGTTCAAATAATAATTGGCAAACAGAAGGTCTTCTTTCTCTTCTTCCATTTCCATGAGAGCAACCTACTGCAGAAGTCTCCCGTTTACGAGCCAGCATTCATGGTGGACCGGTCAAAGTACTGTCAATGAAATGACACACACACACACACAAACACACGATATAATATATATACTCCATAACGTGAGCAGCTCAGCCGAATCTGGTAATCAACGCATCTGGAATATCCTACAACTGTTCGCCGATATTTCGGATGATCGGGAACACTGCCGAACGCAGTCCTATTACAGTCTGCTGTACCGCATTGCACACGCATTTTTCTGGACTCAGTCGTTATCGTGTTCTTTAATTGTCGTGACTCTGACGTGGGTATTATTGCCGAATTTCGTATTAATTACTGAACTGTTCCGGAGCGGATTCGGGCAAAGACGGTTCGCATTCGGCAAGATCTGGACGCAATCTGGACTCAATCGCAAGAAACGAGAATGCCAAAATTTTCTCAAGA